GTCTGTTCCACAGTCTGTCCCTGGCCTTGTTTTCACTGATGAGATGGAGCTTTTCCATTGTCTCCTTCCACAGATGTAGTCAATTTGATTTCTATGTATTCCATTTGGTAAGGTCCATGTGTATAGTCAGTCGTCTCTTACGCTGTCTAAAGAAGGTATTTGAAATGAACAAATAATTGATCTTGCAGAATTCTATCATGCGTTCTCCAGCATCACTTCTATCACCAAAGCCGTATTTTCCAACTACTGATCTTTCCTCTTTGCTCCCAACCTTTGCATTCCAATCACCAATAATGATCAATACATCTTGACTGTATGTTTGATCGATTTCAGATTGAAGAAGTTGGTAGAATTCTATTTCATCCTCACTGGCTTTAGTGGTTGGTGCATAAATTTGAATAATAGTGATATTAATTGGGCTTCCCTGTAGGCACATGGATATTATCCTATCACAGACAGCATTGTACCTCATGAATGATCTGGATATGTTCTTTTTGATAACGAATGCAACACCATTCCTCAATTTTTCAATCCCAGCATAGCAAACTATGTGATTGTCAGATTCAAAATGGCCAAGACCAGTCCATTTCCGCTCACTAGTGCGTGAAATATCTATGTTTATGTGTTCCATTTCATGTTTGACAACTTCCAATTTTCTGAGATTCATACTTCGTACATTCCATGTTCTGATTTTCAGTGGCTGTTTACAGCTGTTTCTCTTCATTTTGAGTTGTGCCCCATCAGCAAATGAAGGTCCCGTGGGCTTTTTTCTCCCACAGGCTTTACTCCATTGTTGTTATCACAGTCAACTCTACTTTGAGGAGGCAACTCTTCCCCAGTCGCATTTTGAGTGTCTTCCAACCTGAGGGGCTCATTTTCTGGCACTGTATCTGACAGTGTTTCTCTGCTACTCATAAGGTTTTCAGTGACTATAGATTCAGAAGTAGTTTGTCACTCTTTCCTCCTAGTCTATCTTTGTCTAGAAAGTCACTTGAAACCTGTCCACCATGGGTGACTCTGCTGGTATTTAAAATACCGGTAGCATAGCTTTCAGAATCACAGCAACTCATAAGCCATCACAGTATGACAAAGTTAGACTAAGTTACAACTGTTAAATAAACTGCTCAATCTTCTATTCAGTACTTTGTCATACATATCCTTGAATAAAGTTGACATATAATGACAAACCAGAAGTTCAATCATAACTTCAGATAAAAAATAGGGACTTTTAGTTTTTAAATAAGCATTGTTGTTAAGTGCTTTTGAGTTAGTTCTGACTCACAGTGATCCTATGTAACATTTCCGAGAAGGTGGGTTTGAACTGCTGACCTTGTTCGTAGTCCAGTGTTGATGCAAGCCACACCAGGTGTCCGGAAAAATAAGCATTATCTCCCACCATTTTCTTGTGTTCTGATTAGGGGATAGAGCTGTCATTTGTGGCCATCAAGAGGTCCCCAGAACCTTTAAAACTCAACTGACCTTTTTTCTCCCTCAGCCCATGGAAGACATACCAATCAACACCACCCCTCCCTAGCCTATCAGTTGTACCAGCTGGCACCAAATCGTCATGACGACCCCAGGTATGCATTCTATCGAATCTTCGAGGCTGAGATCTTTGGTAAGCAGGTCACCAAGCCTTTGTCATTTATTGCAGCTCTTCTTCCATTGCACCGATCTTCTGGCCAGGACAGATTCATCTTTTGTCCTATGCAGTGTCTCCCCTCATCTTATTCCCCCAGAAAACTTCAAGCTTTCCAAAACATAATCTTCCTCTAAGCAGAGTTCATGTACCTGCCATATTCAGAGAGCAGCTGGGTCCAAAGCAAAGAAATGGCGAGTTCTAGCTACTGAGATTCAAGTATTTAAATCTTAGGTGAATCAGCAAAACCCTCACACATTGCTTATTCATCCTTATTTCAGTTATAAGTTTTCCATTCCTCAGTGAGTCAGAAGAAAAAACAAATGCAAAGATAGGATAAATATATATTTCAGATAAACAACAAGTATCAGCTGTCAAGGGGAAAAAGATGAGAGTACAAAATCTAGACAGAAGAACTAGGAAACAGTCATGTGGAACGGTATCATGGAGAAGTTACAACCTCTAACTTCAATAAAACCATGAAGGAACTACTGTGAACTCATTTAAAATTGATACGCTTAATGATGACCCAGAAAAATCAAGTTTATATTGTATTCAGAATAATTTATTTAAGGTATTAAGTTTCTACTACACTTTAGAAATGTGCCCAACCCAAATTACTTAAGAAACATTAATATTTAATCCTGTAATACTTTAGAATAAACACTGGAATGCAAACCACAAGGTTAGCGGTCCCAGCTGCTCTTCAGAAACCCTGTACAGGGTCGCTGTGAGTCTCAATTAGCTCAACGGCACTTAACAATAACAGTATTTAAAGATACAAGTATTTATCTAAAAAACTTTCCTCACAAGTCTTATTGAGTCTCATTCTTCAGTAGTAGCACAGAAAACAAACCACTTCCATGGAAAACACAGATATTTGGAGAAACAAATAACTTTAATGATCTGTGGTAAATACAAAGGAAACTTAAATCTTATTGACGGAGAAATGAAAATAATTACAAGTGTACCAATACAGAAAATACAATCACAAGTTTCAAGAGCTTACATAAACCAGCTGCTGTCAAAATAAATATTGAAAGAGACAGAAGTAAAACTGCTTAATGATGCCACCCGCCCCCCACAAAGTGGAGAGGGGCAAACAAACAAACAAAAAAAGCATGACACAAAGTGAGCAGAAACCCCCAAAGGTGTTTTTACAAACAGACACTCAGAGACTCAGCCTGTCTAGGAATCTGACCTATGAAGCAATAGAAAGTGATGAAAAGTCAGTTATAAATCAGAAATGACAACCCAAATCCCAGAGTCTTAAATTATTTAATCTAGACATTATCTAAGCCCTTCGAGTGGCTTGGTGCAATGGTGCTCATCACTCTTGCTCCCTCCCTCAGAATGAAATGTAGGACACAAACTACTGCTCGTAGACAGTATTTCAGAGCTCGCTCACCCCGCAAAGGCCGGCAGCAGTAGTAGACTTCCTTTACTCACATAGTTTATTGCTTAATATGAACAATAACAATGCAAAAGAAGAAACTAAACTATAACACATTTACATTTCATTTTCAAATGATCAGTACCACCACAGTTTTCCAAATAAATGGATCCTGAAGTGTTGATTAACCTCCACAGTATTTTTAAATTAGGGACAATCCAATCCAGTGAGTATCAAAAAAGAAGTCTGACCACCCCTGGGGAGCCCAACTGGCAGGTCTCATATTCTCTCCTGCCATAGCTTAAATATTATAACTACATTCAACTTCTAGGAAAGACTTATTTGAAGAATTTTGCTACTTAATAAAAACCGGAAAATAATCTGGTCTATATTTATTCTGGTCTATATATTTTTGTTTTTGTCAAATGAGAACACTCCTAACAAAATAACCTACCCAGAACTCCCCATCTCACAGAGGTATTCTGTTCACTTCTCTGTGGCTTCGTCTATCTTGGAATGGGTAAATCTTTCCAACTCTTACCACTAAGCTTCACGATATAGCTTTGGGTATGTTCTGGAAAAAACATGTTTTAAATCAAGTGCCCTCCAACTACTGCCTCTATGCTAACCCAAAAATCTGAAGAAAAAATATTTACAAAGGAAGGAATCAGGACCTTCAAAAAAGTAATTTAGTAATTCCTAGTAAAACTGACCAGAAAGCAGTTGCTTCCTAGTTTAATTTACTGACTGACATTTGATTAACAATTTGTTAGTGTGGGGAGGGCCTTCTAGAAAATGCTGATACTACAGTGTACTAAAGCAAATGTTCTAAGTACATATATTTTAGATAAGCACAGTTACAAATTTGTAGTTAACAATAAGCAAGGGTTCATAACAAAGATAAGTACCACGTGTCCAATGTTGATTTTAATCTCCAAAAAATAATGATCAGGTTCAAATCTTGATTTCCTGATACATGGGCAAGGTCAAAATAAGGGACAAAAGTTTAGAACACACATCCAATTAAACTATCGTAAGAAACTAAATCAACATAGTGTAAGGTTGAGATGATTAAAGTCGGGGAAAATTTAATACTGGGGTGGCATATTTAGCCCAGGTACTCTACTTTCATTGCAACAAAGCCAGAATAAATTATTTGACAGTATTTTCTATTTACTAAAGGACTTTTTAGTATTTTGTTGTTGGCAGTTGTGAATATTCTTCATCATAGAACATTAAAGGGATAATAAAATAACGATATTGTAATGTATATTTAAACGACTGCTCTGATAACCTCTCATTAATTTTAGGTAATTAATAATTTGAATAACCACATGATAAATCAAATCATATGCCAGTTAGAGAAAGAAACACCCTTCAGAGCGATCCCAGCATATGAATGACAAACACAGAACAAATTCATAATCGGCTAGAATTTTTTAAAATTCAAGAGTGAAATAGTGTACCTTTGTGCAAATAATGTATACGCTATATTGACTTTCTGAGGGGACTAAGGTGGGGGTTTTTTGTCTTTTTTGCTAGCTGCTCCCTCCCAAGTATTTTCATAAGCACACTATGCTATTTTTCTCTTCTATGCTGCTGTTGGAAAAACATATTAACACTATGTGTTATTTATGTAACACTATGGTATGTGAATGAAATGATCCAACAGCACACTGGTTGGGTTCTCACACACTTCGGAGGTTCACAATGAAATGTCCATCTGGTACTGTCTTCAGTTGTCAAGAGAAAGCAACTCAAAGGCCATCACACAGTCTATAAACCAGCTGGAAGGAGCCATCCAGACTTTGCCCTTTCGAACCCTCTCTGGGCGGTAACTGGAAACATCCTCATAGATGATATACTGTGTGCAGAAGCGCTGATCAGAATCAGGCTTGGCATGGTAGGCAACAGTATTGATGGTCTGAGTCACATCACTGTCGGGCTTCGGCTTTCGCCGGAGGAGCTGCCCTCCAGCCGCAGTCACCAGCTTCACTAGGTTGTCCTTTGGATGGTGCCTGAATGGTCCCCCAAAGAAGAAGTAGCACCCGTCAAACAGATTAGGCAACTGAAATAACAAGAAAAAGTTTTTCTGAAAACAGATCAAAATATTTAAAAACTGTATATAAATTATAGCAGTAAAAATAATCATGAGCAGTTAAAAAATGATGTGTTAAAAAAACAACTCATTATGCAAATAAGGGTTTTCTAGGTTGCAATTTCTTTCTCAAGATTCACTCAACACCTTGGGGGCCTTCCCACTTTCTCAAGGTTTCAGGTATGTTCTGTACAGAGAAAAACAAAAACTGTCCCTAGGTTACTTTTCTGAGGTTGTTTATTCATATTTGTTAGGACTTAACACTTCAAGGATTCCTAGAGTCTCTGAAATATGCTTTAAGGATTCCCATCTAAAATGAATTCAATACTGTCCACACATATTCAGGTGTCCCACAGGACTGTGACCTCTAGGGTCCAGAGATGATTGGGCGGAGCACAGCGGATGACATAGCATGACTAATGATCCAACCAGCACAGCTGAAAAAGACAAGATCAATTTCACAATTCCCTTCTACAAAATGTTTCCTTGTCATTTCTAATATATTTCCCTATCAACAGGATAATGGAATATTATCTATTAAACCAGCAATAGGTGGTAATAAAGACATACGGTAACTAAATCCGAGCAGCTGCTGTTAAGTCGTCTTTAAAGCTACTTCCTGTATCTGAGACTTACCTCAGATTCTGAGAGGTTTATGGGTACATTCAAGATGCCAAGTGTGCATTAATAGTATGAAATTATTACCTTCAGGACCTGACTGCTCATTGCAATCATCTTTCAGAATCATGTGCTTGAAACAAGCACAATTAAAATTCCCATCAGTCAGCTATACTTGTGAAAGGGCAGAGGCAGTCAGTCCTCCCTGACATTAAGTCACAATCAGAACAATGAAAGTAGCAGGATCAAAAGAAGAATACCAGCTGTTCTCTGTTGAGCCTGCTTTTCTGAGGGCCGTCAGGAATTTCATACTTTTCTTCCTCTTCACACCGTTTTCTTTGTAGACATGCTTTCACCCCTGACCAAAAAAATAAAATCAATGTAAAATAAATATCAAGTTAGCATTACTATCTCTTTAGCACTGAAATTACACAACTCACCTGTTTTAAAATCAGATGTGTTTGTTTTCTTCTTTATCTTGTTTGGAAATAGAAATAGAAACCTTACTTAGGCAAAAACAAAAACCTGTAGAGAAAACTTGAGCAATCCCTCTTTCAGAGGACTGAGTACTGAACACTCAAAGACAAGAATGAAAATCCACATTTATTTAGAGCAGTTACTAGAATGAAGCTGACTAAATCCAGCCAACCCAGCCACAGCAATCTGAACATGAGTGTCTACTGTCTGCACCACTCATTTGGGCAGTTCAGGTCCACTCTCCTGCTACATTTTAAATGGTCTGACATTACGGAAATGACTCCATAGCACCTGGCTCAGCTGGCCTCACAACAGGGGCTCACCAGGACTTGTAAAAAGAAACACTAAGCAGAGCCTAAGAACATGTCTGGAATTTCACAGATACACACTGAAATTACAAGCCTTGCAGGAAAAATAGCACTTTTCTGATGGCTTGGATAAGTGCTCACAGATCCAGGTTAAAAGCAAACGCAATAGAGATAGCCCGGCCTGGCACTGTTTAGGGCCATTCCATTAACTGGCTCTCTTGAATTGTTAAGTCCAACTGCCTGGTAAAGCTCTAAAAATAAAGTGAGCCCTCAGGCATACCCAGGAGCAGTAATGGATGGAAGGGCAGTTAGCTTAATCTAGAGGTCCAGTCTGGGAATAGTGCCTGTTATCACAAAGGACTGAAGCGCATGGCATGTGAGCCCTGGTGTTGCACTGGTTCAGAGCTTGGCTGGTAACAAATGGTTGGCAGTTTGCACCCACCCAACAACTGTGTGAGACAAAGATATGAAGATCTGACTCAATAAAAAGACCAACCTAGACAACTCCATGGGCCGTTGTACTCCATCGTACGGGGTCACTATGCATTAAAACTGACTGAGGGCATGCACCCCGCAACACCACATTCATCTATCTTTGCTGGTGTTCTGATATAGGTTTTCCAAGGAGCTGCTGGTGGATCTAAAGCACCGACCTCATAATTATTAGTCCCGGGCATATCCTACAGCACCAAACCAGGACTCCATCTATTTATATAGCAAATTCTCACTTTGATGATATACAACTAAACTAATTTGGGACCTGTAATGTAATTGAATGACTCGACTACCCCACTTAATTTGAAATAATGATTTAAATCCTTTGAGTCTAAGTTCGCTTGTCTATGGGGGATAAAAAGACAAAGGAAGATAACCATACCACCTGTTTCATAGTGATGATGCAGAAAAACCGGTGAAATGTTCTGGAAGATGGAACTGCAGTAAATGATCTTCATCATAAAAATGAACCTCTCACAATTTGCTATTGGTCTTTGAAGTTACTTTGTTTAGTAATGTAGGTTTTCTTACTGAGGAAGTGTTACAATTGTAGGAAGCATACATTAATCACTTTTGCACTCCTCCATTAACCCTATGGAGCCCTGGTGGTGTGGTGGGTTACACAATGGGCTGCTAACCACAAGCTCAGCGGTCTGACCAGCAGCTCCGCAGGAGAAACATGAGGCATTCCCATAGAGATACACAGCCTCAGAAATCCTACCTTGTTGTTGTGTGTCATGGAGTCAGTTCTGACTCATAGCAACCCTGCATAGGGTTTCTGAGGCTGTAAATCTTTACAGGGGCAGAAAGGCTCATCTTTCTCCCACGGAACGGCTGGTAGTTTCAAACTGCTGACCGTGAGATTACCAACCCGACTCATAACCACTACGCACTGCCCGGTCCTGTGCCATCCTCACAATTGTTAACCTTGAAGCCACTGTTGCCGCCACTGTGCCAGTCCATCTTATTGGGAGACTTCCTCTTTTTCACTGACCCTCCACTTACCAAGCATGGTGTCCTTCTCCACACTAGTCCCTCCTGATATTAAGTCTGACGTATGAGAGATGAAGTCTGGACATCCTGATTTCTAAAGAGCATTCTGGCTATTATTTCTTCCAATACAGATTAGTTAGTTCTTATGGCAGTCCATGGTACTTTTACCTCCAACACCATAACTCAAATCTATCAATTCTTCTTCGGTCTTCCTTATTATTCACTGTACAACTTTTACATTCACATAAAATTATTGAAAATACCATGGTTTGGTTAAGGCAGACCCTAGTCCTCAAACTGACATCTTTGCTTTAAATCTGCTATTCTATAGCAGATTTGCCTAATGCAATAAGTCATTTAATTTCTTGACTACTGCTTTCATGAGTGTTGATAGTGGATCCAAGCATAATGAAGTCTTTGCTAACTTCAATCTTTTCTCCATTATAATGATGTTATTTATTGGTCCAGTGTTGAGGATTTTTTTTTCTTCTTCTTTATATTGAAGTGCAACCTGTACTGAAGGCTGTGGTCTTTGCATCTTTACCAGTAAGCATTTTAAGTCCTCTTCAGGAAGTCCACTTTCAGGAAGCAAGTTTATATCATCAGTGTATCACAACAGGTTGTTAATGAGTCTTCCTCCAACCTGATGTCATGTACTGCTTCATAGAACCCAGCTTCTCGAATTATTTGCTCGGCATACACACTAAGTATGGTGAAAGAATACAAGCCTAGCACACACCTTCCCTGACTGTACACCACTCAGTGTCCCCTTGTTGGGATGGCTGCCTTTGTACAGGTTCCTCATGAGTATAATTGTCAGGACTACTCATTCGCTGCAATGTTGTCCAGTTTGTCAGGATCCACACCGTTGAAAGTCTTTCCATAGACAATAAAGCACAGGCAAACATGTGTCAGGTGTTCTCTGCCTCAGCCAAGATCCATCTGAAGTCAGTAATGATACCCCTCTTACCACATCCTAGTCTGAACCTGGCTTGAACCTCTGGCAGTTCCCTATCAAGATACTGTTATAGTTATTTTTGAATTATCTTTAGCAAAAATTTACTTCCATGTAATTATTAATGATATTGTCCAATTATTTTTACATTCCACTGGGTCATCCCTCTTTGGAATGGGCACAAATACGGATCTCTTCCAGTGAGTTGGCCAGGCAGCTATCTTCCAAATTTCCAGCACAGAAGAGTAAGTGCCTCCGGTGTTGCATTCGTTTGCTAAGATTTCTATTTGTATTCCATCAATTCCTAGAGTGGTGTTCGTTGCTAATGCCTTCAGTGCACCTTGGATTTCTTACTTCAGTACCAGTGGCTCCTGATTGTATGCTATCTTTGGAAATGGGTGAACAGTGGCCATTTCTTTTTGATACAATGACTCTGTATATTCCTTCCATCTTCTTTTGATGCTTTATGCATGATTCAATATTTTGTCCAAAGAATACTTCAATGCTGAAAATCAAGGCTTGAATTCTTGTCATTTCTTTCAACATGAGAAACGCTGAGCATATTCTTTTTCCCTTTTGGTTTTCTAACTCCAGGTCTTTGTACATTTCATTGTGACACTTGACTTTGGCTTCTCAAGCTGCTCCTTAAACTTTTTGTTCAAACTCTTTTATTTCCTCCTGTTTTCTGCAGTTGCTTTAGTATCTTCTATACTGGAAAGCAAGTTTCAGTCTCTTCTGCCATCCATTTTTTGCTTTTCCTTTTTAGCCTTAGTGAGTTTTGCTTTCTTCCTGTATGATCTTACAGGATAGCTATGAGTCAGAACTGACTCGACGGCACGCCACCACCATTAACTCCGTCCTGGTGTGGCACTATAGGATAAGCACTGGACTGCTAACCACAGGGTCACCAGCTGTCCCTTGGAAACCCTATAGAGGGTTGAAGGCACTAAATAAAAACCACCACCATTTTCATGAAACAGGAGCCTGACAGCACAGAGTTTATTGGCTAAGCTAGCTCAAGCTCAGGTGTTTTCATTCTTTGTCCAGAGTTGTCAGAAAAAAAAAAAAAAAGTTTTTATAAAACTCAGTGATGATGTAAATCTTTAAGAATTTTATCCACACAGATGACAAAAAATAATTATATAGCACCTTTTAAAAGCTCAGAGTTAGAATTCAAATTTTAACTATTGAGGCCACACATACTAATTTTGGATGTCAAAATTAGTGACCTACCCTTCTGTATTTAATATCTAGTGCCACGAAACTTAATCAGAAAGATGTTATGGCTGGGCTTAAAGATGGAAACGTGTCATTTAACAATATTTTACAAGAGTTTGTGCCACTTTCATGCTGTGATGAAATTCTGCCCCACTGATCTCTAGACAATCCGACAGCGTTAAGACGCCAATGCAGAAGGACTCCTACCACTCAGCCCGTAATCCTGCACACACCTGTCAAAAGGCTGGCCATTTGCTGCATGTACCCGAACTGCCCCAGGTTTGCATGTGAAATGAAATAAAATAAAGCACATTGTTTTAAGTATTAAGAGAAGGCCTTTGAACCTATAAAATATATCTTGAGAATAAAACCCAACACTGGAAGACAAACTCAAAGACTTTCCAAGATTTCCCATCTCTATCCACTTAAAATGATCTAGGTTTAAAATATCATTTTAAACACTCTTCTCTATTTCCCCAAACTGATATAATTAAATTGCATCTCTGTATACGTGAGCCACTGTGGAACTAGAAGAAACTGAAACAAAATGAGGGCATTTTTGAAAGAAAAAATGTGTCTGAGTCTACATTTATTTGGTTGATTTTAGCTTATTCCATAGTAATCCTGAAACACTAGGATTTTCAAAGTATTTAGAATCATAGAATTTAAGAGATAACAAAGACCTAAGATCTAGTCCAACTTTCTTAAACATCTGGAAAATCAAGTGCAGAAACATAGTGACTTCCTAAGAGGGCAATAATAGCCAACTGAACGTTTAGCACTCCCTAACAAATAGAACCGATTTCAGTGCTCTTCTTGTGTATTTATTGACTCTATTATATACAAATGGAGTCACAGCCTCTGCCTCGGGTGAGATTTCACTCATTTTTGCATTTCTGTTGTTTCCTGTCC